TGTTACACACAGTTTTCTTAAAACAGATTCGCCCCCTTACCGTACGTACTTGATGTATAATTTAAGCGTCTGCTTCCCAAAATACAACGACAGAACGGTAGGATATGAGCATCACAGATTTTACTACGGCGAATTGAGTTAGTGCCCGAACAATATCACCACAAAGACTGAAATAGAAACTGAAAACGAAGACAAACTCGAACGGATGCAGATGAATTTTTAGATGAAATTTGTGTGTTGAAAACTGGAAAAAATAGAGATATATATATACTTGGATCTTGTAACTTTCCATTCATATCATGACAATTATCACAGGAGTTTAAACAGTTTCAGAAAATGAAAAATCAGTTGAAAAAAAAAATGTAGCAAAATGTGGACACTCATAACGGGCCAATTTTGATTCTTTTGGTCCGATGTTCCTGTACACAAGTTCAAGGTCCGAAACATATTTCGATCCATGATTTGCACCTCTGCGCGTGCACGTGGAGAGAACCTCTATGCTACATATGATTGCACAATTCTAAAGTGTAATATTTTATAAAGTGGTTTTAGTCTTCATCTACTTTCTATGTGAGACAAGTATATTTTTTAGTTTCCCACCAATATAAACTCTTTTTAAGTGGCACAATTTGAACTTCAATTTCTCATTCACCCGAACATCAATTTTAGCAAGTGATATATGATTTTGATATACTCACGGAGGAGAACACAAATCAATCTTGATTTTCCAAAATAGCCAAACAGGCCCCACTTAAAAATTATGCCAAAGTCAGCTATATACTCATTTTTTCCAACAACCTGAACCTCGTTTGTCAAATACATCAAACCTAAATTACCCCTCACCTTCAAGCTGCAATTTAGATAATGGGGCTAGTGCTTCTAGGGTTTTCACATCATTCTCTTTCAAAACTCTTATTTTAAATTGAAAATACTTCCTTTTACACCTAATAAATTTCAATAATAGTTTGGACGTTGAAAGTGACACCTCTTGCTCCAAAACATGTAATTATAATCTTTGGCCGAGGAAGACAAGGAAGCAAAATAAATAACCGAAAAGTGGAAGAAAAAGAATGAGCAAGCAAAAGGAGAAATAGTTTGAGAAGAAGTGACGACCTTGTTTTTAGTTTTCCTTTTGGTATGAGCTACAAGCCATTTTTTTTTATTTCACTCGATCTAATTGACTTCAATTAGGTACGTTGGCCTCTTAATTGATGTCATTTTTTCTTTTTTTGGAAGGATTTTGTTCAATGAAATACCGTAAACATACGAAATCTTTGACAACTAATATTTTAGGTGAGTTGAGAGTAAGTAATAGAGTGAGTTTGAATTATATTGATTTGTGATCAAATACGAATGGAACGAAATCAACTGATGATATATTTGTTTTTACGTTAATTACTAATAACTATTCTAATTACTACCTAAATACACGTAAAGAATGTTTTGAAAAAGATTTATGTGAGAAAAGTGTGTTAGGAATTCAACTCCACCAATTAATCTCTTGTTCCAATTCTCAACTTATATCTTTTAATCTAATTTATGTATAGATTGACAATAGGTAATCATATTTTATTAAATAACCTCTCTTGAGCAAAGTTAGACATATCTATAAACACGATTGGAAGTATCCTTGTTTTGAATTCAAATGTTTATAAATGCATTAATTCGTAAGATTACCTATTAAGATTGCATAAATCATAAACAATAATTCACAATGTCTATTGATCATTTTGTTGTTTATCATTATGTGCTAAACATATTTCAAACATTTTGAAAATAATTAAACCACTTTTTAAATGGTGATCAAGAACATAATCATTATAAATATGATAACAATCAATCAACACAAATTATACTTAAAAGAAGGAAAATGATTCAAGTACATGGAATTTTTATCAGAATTGGACCAGATTTTTGAATTCCAACTCACATGTAGTGGATCTCATGTATAAAATATTGAAAGAAAAAAAAAATTTCTCCCCAAATGTTGTGTGTAGTCCGTAGGTACAGGAATTTGAATTCATGTACCTCTAGCAAAGTCCTTAAGGGTCCGTTTGATTGCAATGGTGGAAAATGAGTGGAAAGAAAATGAATTTTAGAGAAAATAAATACATAAAAATTGTTTTGTAGGGAATTGTTAATTAAGTGTGTTTGATTGATATAA